ACTGTAATGAAATTTTTTTAGTTGTGAGGAAGCATGTAAGACTCCAGCCCCTGAAGGTTAAGCCCAGCTCTCTGGTTTCATATGGCAATTATATGACAGCTCGCACATGCATTTTTCTATTGTAGCGAGCTCTTGTGTTCAGGAACAGCGGGGTCGGGAAGCGACTGTTACGTAATGTAAAAGAAGTGAAAAATTAAGTTATTTGTATTTGTTTGGGCCAATCTGCAATAAATTGCCTAAGAAATAACACAATTTGTAATGGCAAAGATGACCCATTCATGTTTATGTAACCAGTGACGATTGAAAATCAAAGTTTCTGACATACGTCTAGTGGTCACACTGCCAACAAAATGTGACAGGGGAAGTACATACATAAGCATTCAAGCAAATATTTCTATTTAATTTGAATGCATAAATTTTTATGAAAATATGGAAACTTTGGTTTAGCTGACTGAAAATGCATTTACCGACGCCCACTGCCAACCGCCCGTCGTCATCAATAGTTCTTTCGATGACGGTGGACTGTTTATGTAACCTCTCACTGTTGTGCTTTTTACCTTAATCATATGCTCTTTTTCCTTCCTAATTTTTTTTTATGTTAAAATCTCGTTTCTTAAATATCTATGAACAAACAAACATATCCTCCGTCATAACCACATAAATTCCTACCCTATAACGATTGTGATTAAATTATTTGCTTCATACACAACAATAAATAAAATAGTACCAGGTTAATTGCTTTTATTTTTCTTGCCAATTACACGGTATCGGAAGGGGAAAACGGTGTACCTGAGCGAAGGGCGGCTGTCAGCTGTTAGGGTGAACGGCCAAATATATGTGCTTAAGTTAATTTCGTAGGCCGAAAGGGTCTTCATCAGAATACTGATTTTTAATAATAAGACCTTTGCCTTGACACCTCAAGCTTATAATCTCCTATCTTCTCAATTTAATCTTTACAGTGATGAATGATCCCATGGAGCATGCCACCGGTATAGAGAAGCGTGAACTTTTAGCCAAGGCCGCTGGCAACGATAATCCCTTCGACATGAAAGTGTTCAAACGTGGCGCTGGCACCAAAGAAAACCCCAACCTGATACCATCAGCATTTGATGCCCGTATTGTTGGTTGCATCTGTAAGTAGTCAAATGAAAATGAAAATATCATACGCTAATTCCTTTTACAACGTTTATTTTCCATTTTATGCGGCTAAATCGCGGAAACACTCGGTTTATCATCACTTCCAGGCGAAGAAGATCAAACCTACGTGCAATGGATGTGGCTGCAAAAGGGCACATCAAAACGTTGCGAATGCGGTCATTGGTTCAAATTGGTTGAGAAGGCTCCTGTCTAAATCAAATTATATATAATTGCAAGTTTCTCATTTTACTAAGCAAAAAGTAACCAAATAAATTCACAAAACCAACAAAAACAACAACTGAAGTAGTAGTGAAATAAAGAGGCAAACTTAGGAAACTTTAAGCCAGAATTTGCAATGCTATGTTGAAAGCTGCTTTCGTGAAGCCAAGAATTCATCACTGGCATAATATTAAAAATAATTAATAATTAAATAATGAGCACTGTAATATTTAATGTTAAGTGAATTTAATGAAAAGTAAAACCATCAACAACAGGTTTTATTCGCAAATTTCTCGTTTGTTATTTTATATTGATTTGCTTCAAGTAAAACACGGCCTTCGCTGTAATTATTATCTACTGACTGAATCGCTTGCAAGGCATTATTTCCCCGGTGATGAACAAAATTTCCGTTGGAAAAAGATTTATTTGGCTGCCAGTCAAACATACATAGTTATACATATGTATGTGTGTGCAGTATGCACGCTCTGATTCGAAATATGAATGCAATTATTATAGCAATAATTAAAACACTGCTGAGATAAAAATGAATAAATAAAATCTTATAATTTGATTTATTAAAAAGTGTTGACTTTAGAATAATAAATAAATGTTTGTAAGTGAGAAAGTTTGTAATTTCTCCCACTGAAGGAAGGACTGCGTACTGACCAGGTTTTCAAAATTTCCTGGAATATACGCTAAACGCAATAAGATTCCTTAAAAGTATGAAGACAAATAACAAGTAAAAAAAAATATCAAAAGTAATATAAATTTACTTGCATTTAACATCAAAAACTAATAATTAAATTATTTCGTAGGAAAGCGAAATCGCAAAAAAAAAACATTTCAACATGACTTCAATGCTATACGACTGTGTCTCTGCTTCATCGAAGGCTCTTATTAAAAATATCTGCAGTAATACTAAAGCAACAGGGCGCTGCTTTTGCAATAGTAAAGTATATTTGGCGGGTATGTAGTGTGCACATAACCACACTATTTTTTTGCAATAAACTTTTTTCATTTGCACTTAAGTTATGAACGATCCTATGGATCATGCCACTGGTATCGAGAAACGGGAATTGGAACAATTGAAGGCTGGTAATAAAGATCCTTGGCTGCTTGATACGGTCTTAAAACGCGGACCCGGCACCAGGGAGCAACCAAATATGATACCATCTGCGTTCGACGGACGCATTGTGGGCTGCTCCTGTGAGTTGATAAAATTGTTATCACAATTTTTCGAAAACAAAATTAATGGTCTTACAATTATTTACGCATAGGTAAGGGTAATCGCTTTGTGAATTGGATGTGGTTGGAGAAGGGTGAACCCAAACGATGCGAATGTGGATACTATTTCCAATTGAAGGAAATAAAGCCAATTTAAGACTTGCGACAGTTAACTTACATTTATATACATATGTATATATACACGTCAGAAATTTATTAAATGTGCATAAAATAACTACTAAAATATACTAAGCTATAGTATAACCGGTCAGTAGATAACCGCTATTACCATTCATGTTGACTTCCGGATGCGTGCGATTGGGTAGTATTTGATAATAGCGCAGCCAATTTGAAGTCAAATGCAAATTGGTCACATTCGAGCAGCTTTTCAACTCCACGTATAAATCCATTAATAGCTCCTTACTTTGGCTGTACAAGACAATTGGTCGAGATGGTTTTACAAACGGTAATAAAGCTTGCACGATATTGCTAGGATGTTCTTTTGCAGCAATCACCAGCGAATCGAATTTGGCACGAATAAGCTCGCAAGCGCGCTGATTTTCCACTTGCCATTTCTGTACAGGCGCCGCTGTACTAGTTGCTTCTGATTTGTTCGTCGCTGTGATTTCGCCTTTACCCTCGCTACTTGTAGATGAAACCGTCAACGAACCTAAAAGAAAAAGAAACATTGATCACTCATCATTTCACATTTATTTTCCCTAAAACTGCGTGGTCTCTTACCCTCCTCCCCTTCACATAACTTCTGCTTCTTACTGCTAGGTTCTGTTTCCTCGGCGGGAGTGCCTGGTTCCGCAGCAGCTTCTGGCAGCTCCTGTTCTTCTCCTTGGTAGTACTCGCGCAGCACCGAATACAGATTTACAGAGATGCAGCGCTGAAGCTGCTCATGTGGTAAATTCAGCGCCAACATGGCCTGCTTTTGTGGCACATTGCCGGGATGCATATGCACCAGTGTCGCTTCAGTGTCAGCACCAATTGAATTTAGAAAGCTGGCTGGCAGTAGGCCGTTTGTGCCACTTTCATATAACAAATAATTGCCATACGCGCTAACACCCGAATAGGAAATTAGCTGTGAGAGTGTATCTAATCGCATGCCCATCACTTTGTCAGCATCCTGTCGATAGTAAATTTCGGTGATAAGCCGCAATGTTGGTCGGCGTATCTGCACAAATTCAAAGTATTTTTTCTCCTTTTTTCGCAAATACTTTTCCTGTGAGTACTCCGTTTTCGAGTGAAATGTCTTCGAGTTTTCAACTATTTTCTCAATAATCTTTTTGGATTCACTGTGTTCTTCACGCAACTGTTCAATATCTTCTGGACGCAAAGCTTGGGAGTCGCCATCGTCAATTATGTTGCGGTTATCAACACCACTCGCCGAAATACCCAAACTTTCGCGGATATCACGCAGTTCCAATTCATTGCACAATTCCAAGGTGTGTAGACGCTGGTTGCGTTGACCACGCTGCGAGGATGGTGTAGTCTCCTTGGGACACATTTTAAAAGTAGCACTATATGGCTGGTCCAATAGAGCTCGCAACTCCAGTTGCTCCTTTCCCAGCATGGAAGTGGCATCCAGACTGCCGAACTTCTGCAGTTTCGTGTATTTTTGACGCTGGATTACAATGTAGTCTCCGAGCTGAATTTTCGGCATCTCTATAGCCGTGGATTTCGTCATGATCCTTTAATAAATTAGGTTGAATTATTTGTGGGAACAAGTAGGAGGCTCACAGAAACACAAAAAGCCGGATGGATGAAAACACAAAACACTTGCTGAACAAAACAAAATTGACAACAAACACGTGAATGTCAATCAAATTACCATGTTGTTCGGAACCTTNGACAACAAACACGTGAATGTCAATCAAATTACCATGTTGTTCGGAACCTTACAGTGGCTACACACGACGGACATATCCGCGCACATGTGCGCCAACATGCTCGCTGTCATTTGTGATTTTGTACTCAAAACGTAAACATGGAAAGGAAAGACGCGGATGATGCAATTGAAATACTTATGACTTAGGGTTTTTTATGTATGTGTTACTTAAATTTTTTTATATTTTACTTATATGTATGTACATACATATATGTACATATTGGCCCGTAGTCATAGTCAAAATAAAGTCGACTTTAAAGTTAGTTGCAGCTTTTTTGACAGATATCCCATTGAAAATTATGTCAAAAAGCTGCAACTAACTTTAAAGTCGACTTTATTTTGTTTATGACTACGGGCCATAGTAATTTAGCCTCATTTATCAAAAATTCAATTAACGCACATGGCTTGGATGCATTTATCCGCGATGTGCACACAGCAAGCATCAACACAAAGCGAGGTTGTTGTTTTTGTTTCCAATGCGATGCACGCAAACCACGCTACAAACGACGAGCATGCTCGCTGAAAATCAAAATTTTTTGATTTTTGGCGAGCATGCTCGCAAACCGCCCTTCAAACGACGAACATGACCCGCAAGCCGCGCATTAGCGCGGATATGTTCGTCGTGTGTAGCAGAGAACAGCTTTGAGTATGATCGAGCCTTTTTGATCACACTC